ACCCTTTTCATTAGTGTTCCTTTTATTTTAATTGGATAGAGAATGGTTTGTAGCCGAGATAGAGTGACCTAAAGAGAAAGGCCCTAACCACTAGTGCAATCCACCACTTGCAAAAGAATGTGATTTTCACACACCATATTTAGAGTCTCACACATTTCTTGTTTATTTTAGATGAATCAAACAAAATCAATAAACAAAATTAAACGGGAGTGTGCAATATAACCATATCATTCATTTGTGTTATAACATGTATATTTATTCATTTATACTATATTTGTAGTCTCTGATATAAAAAAATTAAAAAAAAGAAAAGGTTAAATTATAACACATAACTTAATAGCATTCCATGTCGATATGTCTATCGTGCTAAAAAAAAAACTTCTCTTCCTTTTCCATCCCTCCTTTTGTGTAACGTGGACTCTGGCATGGTCGACCACTGGTGAACCAATCTCCCACTTCTATGGTTCTATCAGTCCATTAGATAGGTGGTATAGATGATGGTTGATTAAGATGGTACTCAAGACCCTATACCTCACAGATGTAAAAATATTTATAATCTATTTAGTGAATGCCAAATACGACTAAGTAAGATGATTTTTGTGAATAACTCAAGTAAAATCTAAAAGCTTAATAATTACGTCCAAAAACTAGTACGAATCTGTACTATGAACAAACTTATACTGTTAAGCAGCCTGAATCACTTGGAAAAGCACTTCAGACGAGCAAATGAGCTTCTCCGACTAGTATAGCAGCTTGATTCTGAATAAAAACACTTCAGTTGGGATATACAAGGTTCGAATCCACATCTTGGTTAATAATTTCGCAGACCAAATGCGCTTCGAGGTTAGAACAATACTTCATTTGGGCAACAAACTCCTTATCACGTTATGAGATTAGTAAATTGATAACACCATGTAGCCCTATTATAGTCACTCTTATGATTACACGACCAATCTTATGATTAAACCATTAAACGCACACACAAGCACACACCCCCCAAATCTGTTTATGATTTGAAACCGTTGGTGGTTACCTTTGCCAAAATAGAAGCTGCTGGCTACATATGCTGCACGACGGCACGACATCCCTCAACTCTAATTGAAAAGTCACCCAAATATGAGCTAAACCCTACCTGCAGGTTGTCACCAGCTTTTGGTGCAGAAATAGAAACCGTTTTCTCTCTGACAGTCCAACGCATGCAGCACCTTGCTCGTAATGTTTGCTAAAAGGGAATGTTGTGATTGTGGTGTCTCAGTTAGTCACAGTCTCAACTCAAAAGAACAACCCACTTCACTTCACTTCCCAAACATCCCAACAAATTAATGCAACAAAAGAAAGCACTCCCCAGTCCCCACCAACTTGGATTTTTCCAATCTTTTTAATTATCTCCTAACTAAAGTAGTTCAATGACGTTTGGATAGTGTCCCAAAGTTGCTAACACGCACTCGTGCCTCATCTCTAAGCATGCATGACTCTCATTGAGCTAAGTTTATAGGGCCATTCTGATTTGTATCTATGTTAGCTGGAATTTTCTCATAGGTCCACACGGATTTAAGTGTTTGATATAAGATCTTATCGTTTGATGCTTCCTTCATAAGATAAGGTTTGTCAACGTTTTCATTGCTAATCTTTTTCATGTCAATAAGACATGATTAGACTCGTGAAGTGGGAAATGCGATTGTGATGTTCTTGGGGGCCTTGGAAGAGAGAGCACTATGTGCTACACTCTTTGAAGCCACCGCACGGTTTCATGTCAATAATTCAATGCAATATGTATTTTCACTTTCACAACAATAGTGTATCATTAACTCAAAACACTATGATATATATGGCATCCCAAGTTTCGTAGGAAAGTCTCTCCTTTTGGAGAAACCAAAACTTGGTGAGATGGAAAATTTTTGAGTGTGATGATCATACCGTACGCGTTGCATGTGGTATTATATATATATAAATGTGAGTAAATGACATAGTTGATATTTCATAGACTTAAACATAGTATTAATAAAAACGCTAATAACATGAGTGGATTGAAAACATTACGATATTGTGAGGTTCACACAAGAACTTTCTAAAAGGAAAGTAATAATGGGGTACTTGATTGCAATATGAATCTCAAGTGTTTTACCTAGAACTAGTTTAAACAAGAGGGTCAGTGATTAATGGCAGGAAAAAAAATTATCCGATGAGGACTTTTAGTGAAGAGAGAGACGGGCTGCCCTGCCCTCCAGCGGTATAGGCCATTGAAGCAGAGCTGATCTCGTTTTTTTTTTTTTTTCCTGTTGACCATGTCTGGCCCTCCTCTGAAGTTTTTATGATTTTCGTATACTATCATTGGCTCAAAATATTATGATAGCATCCCAAGTTTTGTAGGAAAGTATCTCTCCTTTTGGAGGAGCCAACTTTGTGAGGTGAAGTCACCAAATTTTCATAAATCTCAATGGATTAGTTCTAACTGTCTCCGAAAAAATCTTGAGTGTGACAATCACATTATTTGCTTCGCGTGATATGATAATTAACGTACATGTTATAATTAGTATGAGTGGATGGCATAATTGATATTTCATAGACTTAAGAGTAGTATTAATAACAACACTAATTAATCACGGTAGATTGAAAACATCGTGATGTCGTGACTTTCACGCAAACTTCTAAAGCAAACTGATAACATATGGGGTCTCTAAATGCAACACGAATTCCAATTGTTGTGCTTAACTAGTTTGAACAAGATGGACAACTATTAATGGCAGGCAAAATTTATCCGATATGAGGACTTTTAAGGTACATGGAGAAAGAGATACACTGCTAGTGCACATGGCATGGAGGTGTTTTGAAGGTACAGGTGGACCCTTTGACTAGGCATTTTGGAAGGGTTTGATAGCTAGCGTATAAGAAGTAGATACTTGAATTTATTACAAGACAAGTACTTGAGATCTTATGCCAATAAATTAGGGTTTAGAATTGAAGGAAAGGTCATTGTTTGTTCTTGAAAATAGCAAAGCTGTAGAGAATGGTCATGGGGAGCATGGGCAGGAGACTTGCCAAGTGGAAGAGAATGGTGAGGCAGCAAAGAGGGAAGCTCTATATTACTAGGGTTTGCATTTCTATGCTTCTTGGTTGGCACAAGTACGCTTAATCGTTCGAACCATGCATTGCATGCAGTCCCATAATGTATGCGTAGAATTAGTAATTACGTTCTATATCGTTAGGTTTTGATGTGAAGCAGCATGCATGTTAGGTTGTGAGAGATTCTCATGTGTAATCAAGGATATATTTCAGTATTGTTATATCTCTCATCACGTGATATGATTTTTCAATGAGAGTATAAGAAGAGAAAAGTGAGGGATATATCTTTGTTTGCATGGTAAAATTTCTTAATTAATAAGAGATTTTACTATGTCACTAATATACTCTATGCAATGTTTATAGTGGACTCAATCTATCAAGAATAATATTTTCGTTTAAGTGCAAATTTTAAATTGTAATTGTTTTGAGTATGCTGTAATTAAGTTTTGTGTTTCCTATAACAATACAAGATGGGAACATGATCTAACAAGATGAATTTTGTGGTGTTGAGCAACTATATAAAATTACAAATCATTAGAAATCCATCCGTGAAGTATTTATATAGGTACCTACTCAAGCATGCCGTCTTATATATTCTTATTTATATACATGTATAAATCTTGTAAATAAATTTTAAGGAATCATCCTTAAAGCTCCCTGAAATTCTGGAAGAGAAATTAGATTAATTTGTCAAGCCATCTATATCCTTCATACAGCGGGACAAATTGATTACAGCTCTATAATAATGGCGACAGAGGTGGCCTTGAGATTAGGATAAAAAAGCTCCAATCCTTGTCAAGTTTTTTCAGGTGATTGAACAGAGAGACAAAGCTGATGTGTCTGCTTTGTCAACTTTGTATTCACTGGGACCCCACTCCATGTAAACCCATTTAACAGCCGACACTTGGCACCCTACCATGTACTGCTTCACCAGATCTTTTCTGTGTGCCTCTCTATAAAATGCAAAGCTATTGCTCGCTCAACTTAGTCCATGCTACAACCTTGAAATATTCATATCAGCCAAAACACAAGCATTCCTCTCTTTCTCTCGCTCTCTTCGCCTGAAATAGTCTCTACAGTTGTCGTCTAACATGAAAGGAGAGTTGGCCGGCTCTGCTCGAATGCCGAAGCACCGGCCGTGGGAGAAATGCTCAAGGTTGATGAGGGAGCAGCGGACGCGGCTTTATATCATGTGGAGGTGCACTGTCATACTTCTCTGCTGGGACGAGTGATGGAGAAGAGACCGTTTTTAATATGAAGGTGTTAAGGTGTAGATAGTTGAGGGAAGTTAATGAAGTTGTGTTCTTGTGATCTGTTGAATTTTCTATTGAAATTCGATCCAAATAGTTAGCAAGAAAATGTATAGTTACTTGTGGCTGGGATGAGTTTAAATACCTGTACCCAGTAATTAAACGATAATGCCACTTGCAAAATTAAATGATAATGCTACATGTACCATGTTTACCAAACGCTTCTAGACTATACATATTTAATAGAGGTGACATTTCCTTTATCTGCAAATATTCCTAAAATATCATGTCAAGAATAGCTTAATTATTGTGAACGTAACTCCACTTATGCATTCTTTAAGATCACCGACTCTACTTCGACTTATCGTTTGACTTGAGAGTCAAATGTTAATTGTTGTGCCAGAAAAACTCCACCACAAATTTGATACCGAAAGTACTTGTTTAGGATCATGGCCATTGACTGGGGACCATGCAAGTTGTAACATTATAACATTGTAAATTCACGAGGGCAACGAGAATTTATTACTACGCTTGAAGTCTCCTGTTCGATTCCGCTTTCCCTCAATATCGCTTGTGTGAAAAAATATTGAATGAATCCTCGGCTAGCATGCATGTTCGCTCTTGGTTTTCAAATAATCTCTTCGTTTAAACTCAAACTAGAACACAATAGAAACTGAAAGTCGAGAATCGAACAAACTGTCTTTCACTCATTCACTTCTTATTGTACAGATTTGAATATTTCTGTAAACTAGCAAAGTAGAAAGAATCGTGCGTACAAAACCTTGTATAATTAACACTCGGAAAACATCACTTGTTATCGACTATTTTCCATATACCGTCGTTTACGAAACAAAAGGTAGTGCCAGCCAAAGAGACAGCTCGAACCTATCGATATAACATGAACTGAAAAACGAGTTTAAATAATTAACATGGTACTAAACTTATAATCATATCCTCCTATCCAATCTAATGGAGAACAAAATGAAAAACAAATAGATAACTTTTGTAGATGCAAGTCAAAGCCACTTCCCTGAGGAGCAACCGCATCAGGAAATGACGAATGAACTAGATGAATCATCTCTTATTTTCAACAAGTGGTTTACCAGAAGTCCCTTGCAACGTTGCCGAGGACCGACCATCAGCAGACTTCTTCAGGGTTAGTCCTTGCTTACTTTTTGGCCTACCTAGGGCATCATCACAATAAGAACAAGAATACATTAGTCAGCTTCGACCACTAGACATAAATTGAACATTAAAAAAAGACTGAATGTTAAGAGGTAAATCAACCTCCCAAGCCCTGTCGTTTGAAACAATCACCAAAGTTAGCAATCCATAACAAGCAAACATTCCAACGAGGATACAAGCCAGCCACCAAGTGAAATTAAAAACAGGAAGCTTTTTAGTGTTATATCCCCAGACATAAATGAGGCGGCTACTAATATATCATATACGTAAGTTTTTTGCTCCCAATACTTCCTTGTGGAATTAATTGCAGCACTACTATCATGTTATCAAAGAAAGAATTCTAAAGTTTTAGCAATTTGTTTGCACAATACCCCCCCCCCCCTTCCCAGAACCCTTTGAAAATAACAGATTGAAAAGGGGAAATACATTTTGTCCAGTGGCAGGTCCCTTGTTCACATTTAACCTCCGAAGTGATGGAGCCCGTGCCACTGATGAAGCAGCTGCAGCTGCAGCGACACGTATTCTGCAAACAAGAAGATCAATCCACTTTCAAATAATCACTTTTGTAAATAATGTCAACCATCTATTTGCTTTTGTTACTCTATGATACCTTTTATGTACATCAACATATTCATCTGTTTCATCCACAATCTCCTCCTGCATTTTTCAAGAAAATCATCGCTACAGTATCAAGTCTGCTGCCAAATGAACAATTTTCATTAACTGAAAGCACAAGAATATCAATTGCGTGTACATTACCTGCAGGAGTTCTTCAAATACATCTTCCAGAGTGATAATCCCAATGACTTCACCCTCCTCGATATCCTCTGATACCTGGGGCAATCCATTTGTTGCTCCATCACTATGGGATGAAAAAGTTTCCTTGTGTCTATGACTATGGGGCCTTGGTAGCCTGGGTATATCAACAACAACACTGTCCGGCTTTCCATCCTGCTTGGATAGCAAAGGAGTAGTCAGTTGGAAGTCTGTGCCAGTGTCTCCGTTCCCTTCATCTTTCTCGCCGTCAATGGTTGGTAGAGGAGCCTTACTTTTCGTTTTAGGCTTCACCACAGCAGCCATATGACTGCTGCCCTTTTGAAACTCATTCAGTATATCATACAGTGGCATATCTGCAGGAACTCTGGGAATATGACCCACACATGAAAACCGAATATACCATACTCAGTACTGGAATTGAAGAATAAATAATAGCATATTTAAGGAAGTTGAAGCACACCGTGGAATTCTACGGATGGAAACAGCACTAACTGGGGTCTCTGTTTCAGGTCGTACAGTGAGAAGACTTTTCACCTAATCCCCAAATGAACGTCAAGATGGGGGGGGAGGTGGTTAAAATAAAAACATGAGAACTACCAATTACAGATGTGGTGAGTCTGAAAGCCAGAACGGATGCATAATATGAAACTCCAAAGATTTAAGTTCTAAAACCCACCAGCAGAAGTCCAATAATATTCTTTGGGTTCCCAGAATAGACAGGAACTCGGCTATGTCCCCGAGCAAGAACTTTCCCCATTGCTTCCCTGAGCGGGAAGAATGAAAATATAATTAGATACACTAGACACTTACAATCTACAATTTTTGCTGCAAATAAATTTACAAAATAACAAGATAGTAGAAAGAGAACAATGACCGGTTATCTTTCTGAAAGTTAATAGAACATCATGAAAAGTTCTTAGTTGGAAGGTTGGCTTCTAATTCTATTAATTTAGTACACTCCTTCGTTATGATGATTTTAATTGTTCCTGACAAAGGATGTTGGCAGCATAACATACATGTGATTCTTACAAGCACCAAAGGGACAGTTAATTGAGAAGGCGAAACATGAATTTTTAAGGACCGAAGCTTACCAGTCCAATTTTGAATTGACATCTAAGGAAAATGTTGATTCAATAGGAGTCATAGCCTCCTCAGCCGTCTGTTGATAAATGAGAACAAAATAAAAATAAAAAGGTTGAATTTGATTTCTCATTGCACGATATCTTTCAAGATTTGTATCAATTAAGAGCAAGAATGAAATAGAAAAACAACATACAAAGCAAGCTCCTAAAAATTTTCTGCTGAAGACCATTCACAGTCCAATATCATGAGTTTTATCTAAATGATTAAGATTCTACTAGTTGCTAATTGTTCTACTCAAATTAAGGGTAAACTTAACATTGTCAGCTTAAATTAGAAAATAAATAAGCAAGTACAGATAATAATAAACATCTCAGTGGCAAATCCTATTCATTTTGTATACATTGAAGGGGTAATATTCTAGAAATCACAATAACAAGGAAACCACAACAGTTGAGCATCCAAAAGAAAGGCAGTTTCACTACGAAGTGTACCTTTTCAGTTAAATCAAGTGCTCCACTAATTATCGTTGTCTCATCGTGCGTAAGCTCACCTCCCTTGCCCTCCTATATGTGGGATTAACAGAAGGCAACTTTTTAAAAGAGCAAATCAAGAATAATATTACCATATATTACTGTTTTAGTTTCCTTGCACAATCAAATAGTTTTACCCAAGTTACATATTGATTCTGAATTATTCACTTTACCTCCTGGCTGTGGATGTTGACAAGGGCTTTTAACTGAGCTCGCCTAAATAATGCTTCATTATGCCCAAGAACACAGTCCAAGATCTGGAACACGTAAGTTTCTTAGTGTCAACAAGTAGATGCCAAATCAAAGCGCATCACCGATAATTTGCTAGTACATGACAAGGTGCAGAAATGATATTAAAAAGAACTTTCAATTTCTAGCCACAGACTTTACCTTGCCAATTGGATAAGCAATTGGATAGCAAACCACCATTAAAATCCTCACAAGCCACACAAAGTTTGAACCTACAGCGAGTCCGTATCTAGTACATATTGCTTGTGGAATAACCTGTAAGATCATAATAAACAAGCAAATCAATTCCAATTCAAGCTAATCATGCCGAGTGTAAATGTCAAAACCAAAGAGCTAAATCATCGGAAAATTAGGATACAACACACCTCTCCAAAAAACAGGACAAAAGTCACAGAGAGAATTATAGCAACATACTGATTGAAAAGTTTATCCAAATATATCGGAAGGGCCTGCAGATTGCAAACATCAATGTTAATAGCTGACATTGAATGTTCAAACTTAAAATACTAAATGAGAACTTTCAATTGGATACACATTCGGCATTGAATAACATCGATATTCTTATACCAGATTCAATTTAATTTTCGCAAAACCAAATCCGATCTGAAAGAAAACGCATTGACAACGAAAACCGCTGCAATTCTTAAAATTGGAGTGCCACTCACCTCCATAGCAGCCGCATTACACAGTAGCAAAGTGACGAGCAGCTGATGCTGCTTCTGAACCACAGGCAATATAACAGCTGAAAGCAAAAACACAAAAATTTCAGAAAAATTCGGCCAACTACGAGCGAGACGAAACACAAATTCTGGAATCGGCGAGAACCGACATGGAGGGGAACGAACCTGCTTGTTTCTTCTCGGTGGGGGAGCCGCTGCGCTGCAGAATCTCGAGCTCGACGAGGCCGAGGGACATGAGGCCTAGGGTTAGGCCGGACATTATACCGGCGAAGATGACGAAGAAACAGGAGAGGCCGGCGTAAATGAACCACCAGGCGGATCCGAAGGGGATGGCGCCCATCCCCGATTCGAGGCCCGAGTTGCGAGTCAGCATCCGAGTCATCATGATCGCATTTATCGGATGCATCGCTGCTGCTGCTTATGCTTCTTCTTCTTCGTGATCGCGGAAATCAAGTCAGCGTCTTCCAGAACGACAGAAGCTAAGTCTGAGAGGTTGTCGGAGGAGCTGCGGTGTGTCGTACTTTATTGGAGAGAACACGTGGCAGAATCATATGAAGATTTTGCTAGAATCCTTGTACGGGAACATATTTTCTGTACTTTTATTGGTAAAAGGGTTTTTGGTGCTTCTTTTTAATTTACAAATCCGGATCTTTCCTCTTGGTAAGTATCCTAAAGATCTGTAAATAACGTCTGTTTATCGTATATTGTACGATCAAAAATTATTTTCAATATTTTTATTTAAAATTAAACATAAACAATACTTGATAAAAACTGATCGCACAATGTACGATGAATAGATACAATTCACGAATTTTCACGATCCTCACCAAAAATATCCGGAGAGGATTATGTTGGATAATTTATCACCTTCTTACCCTTTTTAGCTTTTTGAGTTCATTTTTATTTATTATTTTTTATGTCAGCTCTTATCTTTATTTTATGGATAATGGTAAGGAAATTAAAATTGTAAATCAAATGATGTGACTATAGATAATTAGATTATTAACTAAGTATCGCTTAACGTATTTTTATTCTTATTGGTAACATATCATTTAATTTATAAATTATGTTAAAAAATTTGGTCGTCTTAACATATCTTTATTTTATTAGGTGAGTTTTGATTTGAAGAAAAGCAAGCAGGTATTAGAAAATTAAAAAAATGTCTGAAAATAAAGTAGGATGTGTGGAAATTAATATTTCGAATATAAGGAAGAAGTGGAAAATAACCATTTTACATCATGAATAAAAGTAGCAAGTTTTTGGTGTACTTAACACAATTTCACTCCAACTGTGACATGTGAAATTGTACTTTAATTAATATATCCTAAAAATTGTGCATATTGACCTTGTAGTCCACTCTTATTGGACATTAACGTAAAATAATAAAACACATAACTTGTATTTTCGATAACCCTAAAAGAATTTCTCCAATACCATCTCCCATTTTATTTATCATTTTTATTTTTGTTGGAAATTTGGAATGAAGGAAAGAGAGAGATGGGACTTGCCAGCACTACGATTAATCCCTATGCGTTAAAAAAGAAAAGAAAAGAAATGGTGTCTAGACTTGTCTAGGCGCCTACCTAGGCACTCGCCTATGTCGCGACTCTCATTTGGGCAGAAAATAAATAACTTCCATTTTGCATTTTATTTTTTTAATAAATTATGAGAGACTGGATGGATACCTAGATGAACACTAATTATATGCTTATTTTTAACACTTTCAATACGTTCTAGTACTTTTTAATTTATATATCATTTGATTTTGCAATTTATGTATTTGAATACAATTATTTATAAGTAGACATTTATTTAATGTTCTATAATAAATTTAAAACCTAAAAACCTCCTAAACTCCCTCCTAGACCCTGGTTAGACAACTAGTCACTAAGCCCTTACTCGTCTCCCGACTAGTGTCTAATATCTTTTAGAACTTTGCGTAATAGTAAGTTTCACCCATGAATTTTTGCCATAGTTAGTCTAGATCCAATTAGGTTTTAGCTCCGCCTATTTCTTTGCCTTGGCATGAGTCATGTTAGTTCTAGCCCCAAGCTCAAATTAATCCTTAGCGCTTACGTTAATCAGTTCTTTTTTTTTTTTTTGCATCAGGTTGCGTGCGTTCATAAGGGAGAGTGGCATGACAGATTTTTTGGGGGTCTGCCACAACCGTCTGATGGACTTTCAACGACTAGTCCAACGGAGAAATTACACGTGGATATATAAATCTTGGTGATTTGGCAGCTCAATGGGCTCTTTCTATTATAATAATTATTATGTTAGCAGCTCAGCAGGTGATTTGGATGAAGTAATACATACTGAAAATGAGAGCTTTCCCTTCAAAACTTATTTTCTCTCACATAAAACCCATCTTCTTTAGTTTTTTTTAGACTTAAAACCCCATTTACTAGAGTCCAATTAAGCAAATTTCCTTCACAAGTTTGGTATGTTAGTTTTTATAATTCTCGTGTTCCTAAAATACCCTCATAGAGTGTAACGTGAGTTAGGTTTAACTTAGGATTAATAATAAATTTTGGGAAGTGTTATTAGCACTCCAAAAATCTCATTCTACACTCCTCACAAGTGTATTTTTCTTTCCAAATATAGAAAGTTTGGAGTGTAGAATGAGATTTTTGAAGTGCCAATAACAATTCCCTAAATTTTGCATTGTATTGTTTTCAATGCAATTAAATGTCAATTAACCTATTATCTGATTAGGCTTTCTTTTCTCAAATTTTTTTACCAACAATTGTTTTATCATGAAACTAACTTACCCTATTAGCATGCAATATATAATATAAATAAAATCTTATTATCAAGGGAGTTGTAGTGGACAATATATGTCTTTTCTGTAGTTCCTTTTCGGAGTCGGCGCTACATATTTTCAATGATTGTCCATTTGCTCGTGCGGTGTATGTTGCCTCTCAATTAAATCTGGGGGTAAGGATTTCGGCGAATGCTTCTATGTGTGATTGGCTGTCATTATGTGTGGATTAGTTATCCTCAAGTCAACTAGCTTTGTTGTTCATGGTTATGCATGGTATCTATCGTGCTAGGAACACTCTGCTTTGGGAGAACAAAATGGTGAACCCAGCCTTAGTTTCTCACCTCTCGAAGCTGCAGCTGACGGAGTTTGTTAAAGCCAAACCTGGTCCTACTTCCTGTCCACCTCAGGTGTTGTCGAATTGGAATCCCTCTCCGGCTGGGTGGGTGAAGATCAACGTTGATGACTCTTTTCTTCTTGGGTCTAATGTGGGAGGTGTTGGAGTGGTATTTCGTGACGAAGCCTGGTAGCTATGCTGGAGATTTCGTTCGCCAAATTCCCTCTGCATCAAGTCCTACCATGGTGGAGTTTCTGGCGGTTCGCGAGGGGATTCGTTGGGCTGTGGAAAGGAACTTGGATCGAGTTATCATGGAGTGTGATTCATTGTAGGTGGTTCAAGCTGTTGGGAGCCGATTCCAGGGGTCTTCTTCCATGGATCTTCTGGTGGATGATATCCATGCTAGTTTGTGAGCCTTTGTGGATTCGCAGGTTTGTTATGTGCCCTGAACTGCTAATGTTACAGCACATGGTATGGTCAAATTAAGTTTTTTTGGTTTGAGGAGCCTCCAGATTCGATTATGGAGGCTTTCGTTGATGTTGATTGACTCATGATTATTCAATAAATGCTATCGTTTTTCTTCAAAAAAAAAAATATATTATATTATGGTGCTTTACGTTGAAATGTGGACAAATAATTTGTGTAAAAAAAATTATACAAAATAATTGTTATATTTTTTTTTATGGAAAATAATTTACCTATTTATATGTTAGTACCCACTTGGAATATAAATACTGCACAAATAATCTACCTACCCCATAGGCGTGATATTGTAAAGAAAAAATGTATATGATTACTTTGGATAGTATAAGTAATTATATGATAGTGTTATTTGTATAGGTAAATTAATAAGTAGATTGGTGAATTAGTATGTACTACAAAAATACAGATAAATTAGCTTGTAACAAAAGAATGTAGGTAAATTAATGAGTTTTTAAAATATAGGTAAATAGTTTGTATCAAAAGAATGTAGGTTGTAATATGTGGGAGCTCCTTGCTCACTGCTAGCATAATTGAAGTTGAGTAATAATAATAGTTATGACATATTTAGGTCATTGTGGCATAAGTTGTAAATATTTTATAAGGATAGGTCATGTATTTGCCAACATGGCAAACTATTTGAATTTTGGGTTTTATTTGGATGTTTAATATGAGGTGGGTTTTTGTCTAGACAATATATGACTCAACCAGAAGGTATTGTCAAAGTAGGAAAAGAAAATCTGGTTTATAGATTAAAGAAGTCTTCATAGGCTAAAGCATTCTCCAAGGCAGTGGTACAAACGTTTCGACTCATACATGAAGATTAATTTTAGAAGATGCTTATATGATTACGGTGTTTATTATCATGTGTTCGAGGATTGTATACTTATACTAGTGCTACTTTATGTAAATGACATGTTGATTGCATGTGAGGATATGTCTAGAATTAAGAGGTAAAGATGCAACTGAGTAAGAAATTTTACGTGAAGGATCTAGAAGCTGCTTAAAAGATCCTTGGAATGCAAATTAAAAAGGATAGAGATGTTAGACTTAATACATTCATGCAAAAACCACCTTGGAACTCGAGGTAGGTCTTCTGCACACTCACCACGACTGTATTTTGATGGTGCATGCAGGGACCTTCCCTTGGTATTCATACTACTACACCCTTAGTGCACATTCCCATAATCATGCCACTAGAATCCCTTATTGTACAAGGATACAATCTACCAAATCTCAGTCCTAATATGATAGTATCAAGAGCCCTTATTCTCTAATTATAACTGGAATATATACCTTACTTGGAGTCCAAATTATAGCTTATAACTAAACTCTAATCGTACTTACATATCACATTAATCCTTATTAACTATATTGACCTATTAACCATTGGATTAGAGTCTAACATCCAACATTCTCCCACTAGGTCAAATAGTTAATTTAAGATAGAACTTTAATGAATCTGTAAGCATGATTCTTTATTGGCCAATGGATTCAGTTAAGTTATTAAGCTTTTTGCATGCTTCTGTCAAGCAAAGGTTACTTACTCAGATCTATCAGAGACTATGAACAAGAAAAATGTCCATGAGCTTTTATAATCACTGAATAAGCTCCTCACTTACATCGAGCAATTAATCACAGACTTGGTACAGAAGTCTATAACGAACCACAAGCCAAACGCGTTGACTCCATCACTTTTAGATCCACTTAATCAGTCTTAAACCTGACTGCCTAACGCTTCCTATGAAGCTTTTAAGCTATGAGAATAGCTCAAATATCCTTATGTGAAAACTCAGTTCATATGTCAAGCAACCTTATGACATAGCCA